CAGGTGGTAGTCTGCATCTATATATAGGAAATCCTTGTTAGTTTGAAATTCAAGGGACAAAATTATTTAAGTTTAAGCAGCTTTAAGTTATCAAATTTTGAATTTTCTAAGATTTACGTATTTCTGTACAGTATGCTAAATGCCATGTAACTGATGTAATTTAGTAAGCAAATGGAATATGGCCACCAATACAGAATGCTGTTTTTGTTAATTAAAAATTAATAATAATAATAAATAAATTGCAGGTAAGCAGCTCATGTCTGTCAGAACCTCACAGGTTGCCAGATAGGTTTTAGAAAAAGTAAAGCAGAATTCTCAAAATGTAGCCAGAATTATTTTTAAAGTGGCTCAAAAACTAGTAAGTTGCCAAATTCTAGTAGCCTACAAATATATCAATAGAGCCCAATATATCAATATCCCACTTGTAGCCCAATCTTGCAATTTCGAAACTCAACCATACTTTATGAGAAAAAGGGTAGTCCATGGTTAAGATGACACCTGAAAATGTGTTACTGTAAAAGCAAAGACATGTTGACCAGATTACAGTTGTACTTGGTCTATTGTTCTCTTATACTATTGAGGCACTTTGATCTAAACCAGGGTCGCCAAACTTTTTTGACCATTAACCCCCTACAACTTTTCGAAACCTCACATCAACCTCACCAAAAAGTTTGTTACAAGCATAAAAAAACTCTTACTATTTTAATACATTTCTTTTAATTTTACTTGTTTTACATTTATTGTATATATGTGAAATACTAAAATTAAACGGACAGCGGCTTAAAAATGGCTGTAGAGGTGTTAATAACATCAGCATACTGCAAATCACACACAAGCTTATGGATGATGCGGACGATTAACGTGTACTATGTAAGTAAGAACCGGAGCATGGACTTGGCAATTTCCGTTTGTCCTGTGCGACTTGATCCATAGCCATTTGATGGGGAGCTATACTATTAAATTCATTGAAACAATATTCAAAAACATAATAATATGTGTAGTTATATTTGTGATTTTTAGTTTCAATGTTTCAATCGAACCCCCAATAATGTTATATTGACCACTTTGGCAACCCCTGATCTAAACAAACAAGTTAATATACACATATCACAGTTCAGACAGAATTTTTACTTCAAATTTCAAAGTAGCTGTATTTCAAACTAACCAAGTTCTTTAACATATAAATCTCTATATTCCTGGCCAGGGCAAAAGTACAGTTACAAACTAAAGGGATTTTGAACTATACAAGCTCAAATTAATGAGGATTTCCTGCACTTTAAATAATTGCTTCCATCACAGTGATAGGGATTTTGTCTTTTTTTTTTTTTTTTCTCTTAAAATAATATCCCTCTTAACAGCAATAAAGGATGCTAAACAAAGTAAAAACTTTATTAATTCTCTTAAATAAAACAATATTTATTTTATTATCTTTGTATATCTTATGTATCTTTGTATTTAAATTCATCATCATCATCATCATCAACACATTTTACAATGTGTTGATGATGATGATGATGAATTTAACAATGATGATGAAAGTAATTCTTAGTAGAGTAGTTGGCAACAAAGCAATTTCAAATGATATATTTCAAGACACAGTAATTATATTTTAAAGAAACATTGAATATAGATGGGAAATAATAAGATTTTTTAAGTAAATAGCATCAAAATATTCATATGCCATTAGGTTTCATGTTGGAAGAAATAAACTAAAATTATTTGTTTGCTAAAATAAACTTTTATGGTCATTTGAAAGAAATCTATGGGCTTTCATGAATTTTTCTAAAAAAATATGATAGAACAAGTTCATAAATGAAAGAAAAAAAGATGAAATTCAATGACACCAGGCCAAATGTATAAAACCACTGAACACTAGTAGTTGGCAGTGAGTTCATTCCTCACCATCAGGTTGGCCATGTGGTGTTTTCCCAGGTTTCCTTCATGTTTGTAACACCTAAATAAGGACCAGTTTCCCATAAAAATCTTCCCAGGAGGTATCCTCTTCAGCAGATCATCTACGTGTCATATTGCTATAACCAAACCAAACCCACAACACTAGCAATCTGAACACAAATGTTTCTATGAAGGTTCTTACACAGATAAAATGATGTCACAAACATCCAAATGTACAAAATTTCTTATTTTGTTTGTTTGTCAGTTTTCAGCCTTTCAGCTACGATTGAAGTGTAGTATCTGAACATGGTCATTTTTTATGTGGCCTTTGACTTGTGAGTGGGCTGCACCTGGTGCATTACTGGATGGAGGTGAGACGTTTTGTTTAGGCTAGACAATCTGCTAAGGGTTCTGTTTAGATGAGATAGTGGCATCTGAATGGGAATACCTGCTATGGGACAATCTATAGGGTCTGGTCTTTTACCTATGTAGGTGTGTCACACATCAGGGATCTAACTATTGCTAGAATGAAGAGAGATGTGACAGAGTCTCCTGGTCCCAGACTTGATTGATTCCTCTGATGGGTTGACAGTAAGTTCGCAACTAAAAGGTTAGGAGTGGTCATGACAGAGGTGACTCTGTTTGGCTTCAGCTAGTTTTTTTTTACTTTGATTAGTTCCTAGTCCAGATTAAGTTCCAGTTATGTCAAGCTATGTCAATTTTACTGCCTACCAGGCTCAGCTGGGGACATCTATTGGCTGACTTGAACCAGGCTCTTTTATTTAGCTTTGGTCAATCTCTTTATGTTGGATGCCTTACATTTGACTTGTGCAAAATGGCACTGCATTAGGCATTACATCCCAATGCAACATCTGGGGAGGAAATGTTCATGGGCCAATGGTGTAATAATGTGCGAAGCACCCCCTATACTTCTGCATCACTTGACTGAAGGGTTGATGTCACATTGATGATGGCTACATCAGGATGGAAGACACCGCACAGCCTCTAGAGCTGTTTGTTTATGTTATTGTTAGGTCACGCAAGCGGTTGCTTGAGTAGGTGGTTGGATTCAGGATGGAGGAGATCTAAGAGACAGCATGGGGGAAGAAAAGCATTCAGATACAAGTTAAACAAAACAAATACCTGTTTATTATATATATCTATAGAATTTTGCACTGACAATTATAGTGAGTCTATTAGGATTTTAGAAGCCTTGAACACTTGAGAGAGATAAACCACAAGTTGTTAAATACTACCTTGTAGGGAAGTTTCTAAGGGTGTGAGCTTGTTAATTTGATCGTCTCATTGACTGGATCATTTAGAGAAAGTTCTTGTCACTATAATCTGTCCTTGAAATGTGTAACAGTGGATGAGGAGTATCCATAGTCAAATATCCATTAGTGAAGTAGGTGAGATCCAGGCATGACTAGATCATTGGAGGAATGGGCAACAACTGACTTGAATCAGCCGTTCATTTGTATTTTAAAACAGCAACATACTGTGAGATCCAGCCTGGGGTACAGGGTAGGTTGTTACGCCTGTATCACTTACTAGGCAGCTAGTCGGTAGGACTAGTTCTCTGTCGTCTACAAGAACGGCCTTTTCCAATCTTAGGGAAATCGAGTGGCAAAGGGTCTTTAGTTAAGCCGAATTTTAAGGTGGAGGTTGGTGATGGCGAAATCACCTTCCTTACGTCAGGTTCCCGACACCAGTTTGTCAATTAATCAATCCGCGGACAAACACGCAGGTGATTATTTTATAGATTTGATTCAGAGACATTCTTTGAACAAATAAACAAGATTAAATTTAAATAAGAAATAAATCAAATAAAAGAAGTACAAATATATGTCAATGAGAGACAATAAATACAAACAATATATAAACTATAAGTCGAGAGAGATATATATATATAGACTTATATTTAACCGATATACGATCGAGAGAGAGAGCTTACAATATTGCTATTAAACATACAACCTGTTTTAGTTGTCGTTCGTCTTCTTCTCTGTAGGCAAAGGACACTTTAGAGATAAAATTCATTTACTTCTTTCCATGGGAGATCGATGTGTGCACAAAATCAAAGTATCTCTTCTAAGCGCTAACTGGATTTATTCTATGTGCCTCTTCTAAGGGCGTTGGCCATCAGGAGAAATATGTGTGGAGTCCTGACTCTTCCAGGTCTGTCGATGAACTCCCCGAATTTTGATAAATTTCCCCTATATCTCATGATTTATGACCAATCATCTGCCAGAAACTCTTTCATGTGAACGGATGAAAGGGGAATCAAAGCGGGGTGGACAGTTCCCATCTGAGCGAGATTTTTAGCAGATAAGGGAAAACAGAGGATGTTCTAACTTCCCTAGAAGGATAATAAAATTACTATTTTAGACCCGGGGCTATTCAGATCTCACAATACCTCAGGGAGGTCAAAAATTTGTGGGAAAGGTGTCATTACAAGCATTTTTATTAGTTTAATTTTTAATGCAAAAGTATTATCTTGATAAAACTAAAGTATTNTGATTTATTATATAATTAATATTATAATATTAGTATAAAATTTCTAATTTTTTAATATATATACAGTATGTAGTCCAATATTATTGAACTGAATGTATTAATACAAGACAGACAAAATTGGATTTAGTAGTATCGTTTGTTCATTTGAGATTTCACTTCATGATTCATTTACAAAATGAATTTATTAATAAAATGTATTATGAAACTGGCTTTAAATTTATACTTGAGATGATAATCTATTCAAAGCATTTTTACTGAAAGTTTTTTTTAATAAGCAAATTATTTCTTTTAAAATGATTGAAATATTAATTTGAAAATTTTTTATATTGGATTGTAAACTGAAAACAATCTTATTATTTTAATGCTGCAAAAATGTTTACATTGATTTTATGTTTTTATAAAATTATTTTCTTTTCCTTCAGGAAATAATAATATATCTAGAACTTTTTCCATTTTTTATTAAATAAATATCTCATTTCTTATTGCTCAGAAATATTACTCTGTATAACTTGGGAATCAACTGTAAATTTTTTAATATATAAATTAATAATAATTTTATTGTTTCATGTCAAATCTGATTGTTACATTAGGAATGCAAGTTTTAGGTAAGAAACTAAATGTTTGTCTTTTTCATATAAAATATTTAAATTATTTTTAGTAATAAATTTTAATTATACACATATTTACCATGTTTACCCTTGCAATTATTATGTAATAACATTAATTAATTCTTGATATTATGCAATGAATATACTAAAACAATAATATGTAAAGAGAAAACAAATGCTTACATCAGGATACCAAAAATTTATTTTATTGAGAAAATGTTTCTCAATAAAAAGAATTTTTGGTATCCTGATGTAAGCATGTTTTCTCCTTATCATTATAGTGCCTAGTTATCAAGACAGCCTTAATCAATAATATGTACAGATATAATTATAAAACTTATAAAGTAAAATATACACATTAAATATCTAAAAATAAAATTTTGTTAAACTTTCTATTGCTGAACCAATATTTATTAGAAGGTAAATTCTAATTTATATATTATTTTTTTAAGTGGATTCTATTCAATCTACTACACCACGACCACGTTCCCCACATATGAATAATGAAGAACCAATAGAATTGGCTCATTACCCTAATGCACAACGCCCGAAACCTACTGAAGTTGCTAAAATTGAGAGAGATGATTTTCCTGCTCCACCATTTCCTTATACAGATCCAGGTATTTATGAAATTATATTGAAATTGTAATTTATAATCATTCATATAAATGAGATTATTATAGTAAAAGGGGGGCGCTTCTGTCTGCCGAAGCTGCTGGCGCGTTTTTTTACTCACTTCAATTATAGGTAAAGATGTATCCTGTCAAATAATTTTATGTTAAAATATTACTTGTTTGTGCTGTGTGTTACATTATAACTGTTGGAAAATCTATCAACATAATTAATATGCAACGCTCGCCAATTAAAAGAGGAAGACCACCACTTCAAAAGTCAAAATCAACTAGTAGAAAGNAAATATATGTAATAATTGAACAAAATATTTCAATGTACAGATATTAACATTAAATTTATATTACTTCATTTTCAGAAAGACGTAGAAGATGGAGTGGAAGTTCAAGAGAAATGGATTTAGAAGAAGAAGAAGAAGAAAGTGAAATTATTGAGGAAGATACTCAGTTAAAGAAAGAAGAGGAAGAATTATCTAAGATTGCTACAGGAATTGGAAAAGTATGTTAAGTAAAACATCTTTCCAATATTTTTGTGATTGTTATGGAATAAAAATTTTTAAAATTTTTACTGGGTATTTCTGTTAAAAAAAAAGAAAGAGAAAAAAAAATGAAGTCCTCCTCCAAAAATCAATAATAATAGATTTTGCAGTAATAAATATTATGAAAAACTTATTAGAAAATAGCATAAGAAATAAGGTTAATCTTGAATACTGTACCATATAATATATCTTCAGTTTTTCCAATAATCTATTTTTCTTAAGACATATTTCTTATGTTGATTTATTGTTCAAAAAATTGACAAAATGCTGGTGAAATGCAGGCAGGTGAAATATATTTCTCCTGCTTACTATCAGTATTTGTCAATCTTTGAATAATAAAGCTAATGGACTTATTTTTTGATACTAGGCTTATTTTGAATGCCACAATTTTGATAAACAACTTTCATCATCAAAACTCCTCCCAAAGTAAATTTAGAAACTCTTTAGAGATGACAGCTTAGCTCATTTTTAAAATAACAATGAGAATTTATCTCATTCTTGATAATTGTAAGAAGTTTCAAAGCACTTAGAGTAGCTAACAATGGATTTACAATGTCATAGGAGAAACTCGTCTATAAAGCTTAGATCAATGCTGATTGAAATTGGTAGATCTGAAGAATCTTGAGAATCAAAAAATGAAGATAGAATAAGAAAATTATTAAGCTATTGGAAATGATGAAGCAAATTGACAACTTTTATAATTCTTATGACAAATTTTAATTTTTATCAATAAATAAGTTTTTAAAAGTAAGCTTGAACTTATTCTTGTAGTCAATATTTTACATTAGCAGTGGGCCACTGGGCTCATCCCAAATGACCACTTACTCTGCAACAGGTTGGTAAAACCCGTTCTCGGCTTGTCGGATGGCTAGGAGGGCAAAAATTTGAGTGGGGAGTGCGTCAGTAAGTCGGCAGGTGTTCTTCAGAGACAGGAGACAGGTTTAAAAACTAAACAAGCATTTATTTATATAACTAAGCTAGGATACATAGGTTAAATGCGATTAAATAAGTTCACTATACAAAAAGGACGCTCTAATAGCTTTACCTGCTAGTCTGAGAGAGAGTTCACAAAGCTCTAAAAAGTACAAAATACCTCTATGCGGATATGTCTAATATGCGTTCGTTGAATATGTTCGTTAATGGTGATGGAAGTTCAAATGGCTGTGGTTGGTCATATGTCCTTTCGGTCCGGAGTATGGAGACAAATATGGCACATCTACCAAGTATAACTTCCGAGTGATCGCGTGGAGCTTCCGGGGACTTGAGCTTTTATATGTTATTCGTGGGAAATGAGTCACATGATCGACTTCTGTTGACACTTACGGTGCATTCCGATCAATTAACTGTCAACTTTCCCACCATAATGTGAAAACAATCGGTGACCTCCAATATACTTCTCACCAAGAGTGGGTTTTTCCTCGGAGTTGTTTACAAATATTTTTCCGACATCGGCGTAAAAATTGCAGATTTCACAGTTATGATTCTATAATTATATCTTTATAATTTAAATGATATAAAATGATATATTTAGAAATTTAAGAATACTCATTAAAAACATATAAATATTTTATCAAATTAACTATTTCTGTTCTAACAAATAGTTAATTTGATAGGATATTTATATATTTTTTATGATGATTTATTATAAAACATTTAGTATTTTAAATTTAAGATTACTTGTCTAAATCATTTTCCTCATAAAATACAAGATCTGTTTATATAAGTTAATAAGATTCTTATTTTGAATTAAATATTCTAAAAATATAAATTGTTAACTTGAGAATACAACAGAAGTATAAACATGTAATTAAATTGTGTTAATATTTGATTCAAATGAACAATGTATTGTTGCAGAAAATTGCTTTTAGCCCTTAGTATAATTAAATTAATTAATTAAAATATCTATAACCATAAGGTAGATAATAGGAAGGGCTTATCACACCAATGACAAAGGGCACAAACGCTCAAAAATCAAAGTAAAAAATTTAATAAAACAGATAGGGTTGTACAATAAGATGATTACATAAGTATAAAAACCATAAAATCCAAAATGCATTTCGGACTATTTTCCAATGGAAAAGTAGTCCCTCATCATTACCAACTGATGAGGGACTACTTTTCCATTGGAAAATAGTCCGAAATGCATTTTGGATTTTATGGTTTTTATACTTATGTAATCATCTTATTGTACAACCCTATCTGTTTTATTAAATTTTTTACTTTGATTTTTGAGCGTTTGTGCCCTTTGTCATTGGTGTGATAAGCCCTTCCTATTATCTACCTTATGGTTATAGATATTTTAATTAATTAATTTAATTGAACAATGTATTATTTATTTTTGACATTACTTTGTCATGCTTATAACTTTTATGTTTAGTAGTATAAATTTTATCAGCTGGTACCTCTTCTCTGACCTTAGTTTGTTTTTTATGTTGACACCAAACATATGAACTATGGGCATGTATACCTTCTTGACACTTTTATCTAGAAGCTGCACTTTGTCATCTAAATTCATCATTACACCTTTCTTATTCATTAGATAGATTTGTTTTGAAACTCGTGATAATCAGTTAGCCATTGTTATTTTATGTATTGTACAAGGAAACCAAAAATCAAACATCATCACCCTCCCGTTTGGTTTTGATTTTGTTACATAGTATCAAATGTTTTAGTTTGTTTTACAGAATTTTCATACTGTGTTCAGACACACTTTTTTCTTTTTTCTTTATATCTATATTACAACTTTCTATTTTCATTTTATCTTAGTAAATTTTTTGAAAAGTAAGCTGTAGAAAATTACTTCTAATCTTTATACTATACTTTTGCTCTACTGTGAATTTCATAATGAAAATAGTCAGAATTATCCCTATGTATTCAATGATTAACCTGAATTATTCACTTTTTAAGTTAAATTTTTTTTTTGTATGTTTATTGTATTAAATATTTTTTGGTATAAATCGTTAATGTATCAATTGACATCTCATACTATTATTGATAAAAAAATATATATATATTGTTTGTGAGTTTTGATAGTTAGTGACAAAAATAAAGTAACGTTTGTTTTTTTCATATGTATTGTATTTTACAGCATAAAGGTCACAACTTTTATACAAAAGAAAGGGTAAAAAATTGCCCTGCATCTTATATGTGAAGTTGCAATCTTCCATAGGCTAATGAATTCCCCAAATGGCTTTTGATAGGCTACAGGTAACTATAATACCTAGCCCATCTTTGAATAAAAATGTTACTGTTACTTAAACATGTTACTTTTGCTGTGGCTAAGCAGCTTTTGCATGTATTTATGTTGAATATTTTAGTTGTAAATGACTTTTTTTAAAATCCTCTTTTTCCCTGATAAATGAAAGTGTGCATTCTAATTTTACTGTCTACTCTAAATATTTTTTCATATATATTCTGTGCCAAAATGGGTTGCATCTTATATGCCGTAAAATATGATATGTAACAATATATTACAATAGTTCACAATATTAAAATTATAATTCATTTGAGAAATTTTAACTTTATCTTGGTTAACCATAATGGTTGTTGAAATAACTTAAATAATAATTGATATTTCTGTTGTCATACTCAAAAAACTCATTTTAAGAATTAAACTTGCTTTTAAAATTTTTTGTTGCATATTTCAGAATCATATCTCTCAAAATTAGTTGTCTGTTTCATGTAGACAATTTATGTATTTAATTAAGTATTTGATATTTAATTTTGTTATACAGTAGAGTCCTGGAAACTTAACTCTTGATAACTCAACATTCCTTAAAACTCTTATTGTTCAAAAAAAAAAACAAGTAATCTAATTTTTACCTCTATAACAAAACACAAGGATGAAATAAGTTATAGTTATTCACTGGCAACACTTGATAATAGCATCAACTCCATGTGTTAACAAAGAATATGGACCTTTTTCCAAGGTGCTACTGCAAAGTGTCATTAACTCAAAAAGTAGCCACTGAATAGCCAATATATTTTTAAATTAAACTACAAATAGAAATAGTCACTATTGTTATGTAGTTAATATGTATGTGAATTTGCACTTATAATACCCTATGAAAATTCTACTATTTAGATTAGCATTATCACTATGCTGTAAGACTTGTCATTTTCAGTAACTCATCACCTTCTCATTTCACATTAACTTCAGTTTATGGGCCTCTACTGTATTATAAATAATAACATTAATCTATTTGTTATATATTTATTTTAAATAGGTTTTTTTGAAAACTGTTAAAGAAAGAGAAAAATTAAGAGCTTGGAAACGAGCCAATCTTGATCCAAGGAATGCTTCTCGCACTCCTTCTGCAAGTAAAGAACCACCAGTGAGACTTCGTTATGATAGTCCTGTTAATGCATGTAAGTATATAAAGACTTAAAAATAAATTCTTTATATAGACTAGTATGTTATTCACACCAAGTAATATTAATAAGCAGTAAAACTCACTGTGTCATTGTACATTCGTCGAAAGTGCTCGAATGAAAAATGCTTAATAACACCGCACACAGTGAGTTTTACTGCTTATTAATAAATTCTTTATTTTATTTTAATATAATTAATTATTATTATGTTGGGTTTAGTGGGTTATACTCGGTTCACACCGGTGGCTGTGTACTATGCCAGACCAGAGTCAAGGCATAGCAACCAAAAACAAAAATTAAATAAGTGTGTCAGTGTCTGTATTCAGGAATTTCCTAACAATGTGGCATGTATTCAATATAGTGGCCTTCTGTAGTGTGATGCATGTATTTCTACTCAATTGTAATGTTTCCTGGCTTTTGTGTAGTGTGTGTAGTATGACGCCTGTAGAGGATAGAACAATAGGTACAATAAGCACCCTATCCATTCTCCACAAAGGCATTATTTCCTGGGCGAGTTCTGTATACTTATTAATTTTTTCAGTGCATGTGTTTTGTACATTGTGATTGTTTGGAATGGCTATGTCTATAATGTATGTGATTTTATTGTGTTTGTCAATAAGTGTGATGTCTGGTCTGTTGTGGTAAATTGTTTTATCTGTGATTATGGCTCTGTCGTAATACATTTTGTGCGTGTTATTTTCCAATACTGTCTGTGGAATATACTTGTAGTATGGTTCGTGGATGTCTGCCAATTTGTGTTTCTTTGCAAGCTCTTGGTGTATTATATTTGCTAC